CATTACAGTTATAAAATTCTGTTTTCAGGAATTAGCTTGGATTTATGAAATCATTCTTTAGATGATCAATTAGAAAATTCAGTCTATAATTCAATCTACATTTTAAATTTGTCGAAAATTTTGAAGGAACTTTGATTTTTTCCTATTAATAAATTCAGGAGGATCAGTTGGTGATTTACGATTATTGGCAGGTTCAACACGTTCCATCCCATCATTTGGGAATAGTAACCGGATGATAAAACATTTGAATCAGACCGCGGCAGCTGTTGAATTGGAATTGTATAGTATGGTGGGTCGTTTACAGATCGAAATTAAAGGTTTGGTTTTTCTATCTTCATTGATAGGATGCATGTAATTTCTGGTCATACCATGCGAAGAGTGTTAAATTTAAATACGCCACCAAAACAGAAGATAGCATTCAACTTTTCCGAGTGATTTTTTTTTTGGTATTTCTAGAATTTTTTCATTCCATAAAAATTCTGCAGTTTTTATAAATTCAAATCTTTATGGAATTCATGATTATGAGTTTATTCGTTATTGTTTGGAAATGGTTTGGGTAAATTACTTCAGTAATTTTGCAGCTATTATTGGATTCGCTCGCATAACACCTGGTGACATTTTTGAAGTGTCGATCAGGCATGGTACTCAAAAATGGAAAACACGTGGTAAAATTCAACAGGATCGGACTCAGAGATGGGATCATTCTTCTGTTATATTTACATGTTATCCAGACTGTCCCATTGAAGTTAAGGTAATTTTCATTATCATTTTAATCTGGAACATTATCCTTGCATTTCGAAAGTCGTTTTCTTTTTATCTCGCTGGACTAAAACGTTCTGTCTGAATTTTAAAAAAAAGATATTTTCAAGATATACGCTTATTTTCAGAAGATATTCTAATCTTAAAATATAAATTTTAGTTTGCAGGCAATTGAGGTTCGGTTTTTCAAGTCAAAAACACTGAGCGAATGCTCTTTCGATCCAGGTGAAATGTTTTGCTCACAATCACAACTTGTAACGGTTAATTTGAATCAAATTGGGACACTCAAATTAGAATTAATTGTTCAATGGATGTAAGTTTTATCCTTTTATCATTTGAAAAACTTTCTAAAATGATATGCTGCCGTTGTGGGTATTGGAAATTAATAACATTTAAGTCAAACAGGCCAACTGAAATTCTGTTTAGTTCTGCTTCCATAACATTTTTAAACAATTTGTTAAAAATTCTAAATGCGATTTGTTTACTTATTTAATTACAAACTAGAGTTCGCATTGAATACGTCTCACAGGAAATAACTTTTGACCACCTCATATCCCTGTTTTGAAATCTAAATTTCAAAACCTCTGTTTTAGAAAAGCAACTTGACGCAAATATACTCAATTGCAGGCCGCTGATGAATGCAAGGAATTCAAACAGTATGAGTAGTGCATACAGTTCATTGTCCAATGAAAATTGTTTCTTTGATAATGCATCAACCAGTGATGCAGTTGTATGTGTGTTGCCAATTTAGTGCTTATACATATATATCTTTCAAAATTTGAACATTTTGAAATCAGATTATGATTTGCAAAAATTTCCAATAATTACAAGACTTGAAATTTTTGAAGTTATTGTTGTAAATTATAATTTGGGAATGATTCCGCTAATTTTTGCAAAATCCTTAACCTTCAAATGTCACGGTTGATTTGAAATTTCTGATAAAGGTCATACTGCATTATGGGAGGTATTTTACAGGAAAAGAAACCGCGGATTTTATTGCGAGAGAAAAAACGCAACAATCAACTTATGCGACAAAAAGAAATTTGGCGTTCATCAACAAATATCTTAGATAGTGTTTACGATGATATTAGCAAATCAATCCCAAGCATTGACACAGTTAGCTTATTTTGATCTTTTTTTTTGGAATACTTTGAAATCATGAATTTTATATTTGTTTTTAATTCTTTTTAGAAAGGGCCAAATTCAAGAAAAAGCTTAAAAATATGGTCTCGAATCTTCGTTGAATTTGGTGGTATTTTTTTTTAATTTCACTGGAAATTGTCAAAGCTCTTCATGTATTATAATTAAATCTTATCATTTTGTTTGATTGCTTTCACTTTTATCAGATTTTAAAAGAGGAAAAAAACAAAATTTAGACTTATAGGTGGAGGCGTTGCCAGTAAAACGAGAACTTAAAAAAGAATCGTCTGAATTAATGTACCTTAAAAATGGATGGAGGCGCTCAATTAGCGTGTCACAACTTGTAGCAAATTCAAATCAGGATTTATGTGAACGTATTTCCTCGATCTCTCCGGTACCAACTGAGGATGAATTGTTATATCTTATCGGATTAGTCAAACCATTTATTGCAAAATTGATTCGAAAACATCCTGAAATTGCCATCAGCAAGTCATGCTTGAATCGTTGGGAGAGATTTTTGAAGGTAAAAAAATATTTGTCGTTGTCATTTTTTACAAATGTAAACAGGATACAAGATCAACTATCCTTTCAGTTCAACTTTGTTATTTTTATTAGGCGAAATTTTCAGTTAAAGGATGAAGTACCAGTTGGTCGAAAAAACGAACTGACAAATGGAACCGATACCGATTATCGGAATGAACATAATGGAAATTCTGGGTTTCAGTGTGTCGAACAGACGTTAGTGTAGAATCATGTCAAAAACCGCCGTTATTTCTTTAATTTCATTTGATTAAAGATTTTCAACGAACTTATAAATGCCATATTAGTGAGACGTATGCAAATAGCGATGTGGCATATACTTCCGCCATAAAACACATTTGATTTTTGTAGATCAGAAAATGATAGTGGTATTGATTCACTGCGGCAACATATTTCACCATATAATGCTAAGAATTGTTCAACTATCGATAGGACAAGCTTCATTGGGGTTACCGGATCTGGCCCATCACAAAGACGATTCAGACAGGTTAGATATGGTATTGGTCAAGAATTTTTGCAAAAAAACGCTGTTTTTGATTTTTAGTTTCAGCTAGGTGTAGAAACACAACTTTTTTAGATAAAGGAGAAAGAAAGGCGCAAATCTGTCGGAGTTATTGTCGACTCGGCTTCTGAAAATCAATGCTTTGCAAATCCGGATGAATTATGGTTACGTTCAAGTTCCAACAGTTCATCCAGTGGTTGTTCAGTGAGTCGCTTATGGGATCGAACATCAGCTAATGGGATATCTCTAGAACTACACCTTTGTCTCAGGCATCACTTAAAACGATGTTTAAGTATATTGACGGTTCGTTCATTTCTAATTTTTTGTCAATCAGCGATATCAATTGTGCCAGGTGAATGGTAAAGTTTATAGTGTTAAATTTTATCGTTGCATTTAATATCCAAAGCGGATATCTCACAATGATACCTACATTTTCTCAATTTCAATCTCATGCAAACGGCCATGTAGTCAGTAGAGAAGTTATGGCTAAAATGGAACTATAAGACGTATTAAAATTAAGCTCATGATATGTTAGTCAAGATGTTCCTTTGTTTCTTGTCATGTTGGAATTTCTAGACATCTGATTTCATGGAGGACAATAATTATGATATTAACTTTATTTTCAGACTTTAGCGGGTATTTACGGTCCATTAGAGTATCGTGAGAATAAAATGTTGGGTAGGCTGGAGGAGGAGACATCTACGCTAAATGAATTGATCAACTTGGCGTCAAGAAAGCATTTATCGGTGACACGAAAAAATGGTACATTAGTTTATTGATTAACTGTAGCTTATTATCATAATTTTGTTTTCGTAGTTACGTTTCGTTTCCGGCATAATTTTCTGAAAAGACTGCGATACTAGCCGTAATATTTCTTCTTTCTATCTTCTCGTTAATTAGGACGTCAATTGTTAACAAAACACGTATTGTATAAGCTTGAATTTTTTCTATGTTAAAATTATTATTCAGCTATTACAGTATTGTATGAGTTAACCAATGATTCGGAAGTGCAGGAAATATGGCTTTCCGCAGTCTTTCAATTGAATGCCACTCTAATTGTACCGATGGAGTCGTTGCGGCTGCAGATTCGTAGTCATTTTGGATCGATGGTTGAAATTCGTTACCCAGATCTGGTCAACAACGGTATGTACTATTGTTTAATCTTTGAAAATTCCTGGACAACATTGAGTTCAAGAAAGTTCATCAATTTCCTGAATTGTCACGAAATTTAAGTAGTTTCAATTTTGTTGTCATAAAACTGTTGATAGAGCGATAATTTTAGTGATCGACACTGTGATGGCGTTGTTGACCGACAAAAGTACATGGGAACCAGAATACATTAGTGTCTTTCAGTTTATTAACTTATTTCGTGGCAAGCATGTCGCTTCGTTCGTCGAAAATTTGGCACATGAAGGTAGGAATCATACTTAGGATGGATTTTCGTATTATTACTTTTCTGTAGTTTTTGTTACATCCGTACATTTCATTCTCACTATGTTACTATTGATTATCTGTTCTTAATTTTACAGCACTGATAATGTCACATCTAAGCTCACGCCAAATTAATCTTGTCAAAGAAGTTATGGACCGATTATCACAAGTTCCAGTTGTTCCACCATTAGAAAGTTTACGATATATTTCTCTCGTACTTGTCTGTCCGGATCGTAATTTACAATCAATCATAGGTAAGCGTCTATTGCAACATTTTTTAATCTATTCCTTACTTGATATTTTTCTATAAAATTTATTTTTTTCCCATTTTTCAAGCAAGTTAATTATAATGAAAATAAAAGTATACAAACCTCACCATATTAATGAATTGAAAATTCTCTTTCAGAAACTTATCTTCTATCAGCAAGCGGACAATTGCGTGATGACCTGATAATGTGTTACATTTGCCTTTTGGAGCATGAGAATGAGCAAAGTCGTAAGGGTGCTTGCCGTGCATTAGGCACACTTGGAGTATGTCTTCTAGTATATACCAGTTTCTTTTTTTTCTTAAATCCTTGAATCAAATTTTCAAGTAAAGACATCGGAGAAATGAGAGGTGTTGTAGTAAGCTAATTGGTCTATGCATATTGTCTTTGTAATCTGAGTGCTCTGTTAGCAACTATGGATAGAGAGAAATAGAAATGATAAAGACATTAGAGGTTGACATCTTTCGATTTTGACTTATCGGGAACTGAAATTACTAAGTTCATAAACTTAACATTCAAATTATATTTTTCCAAGAAAAGTGCGCTTGTATTTTATTCTGCAATAACAACATGATACTTTTAGTCATCGAAAGCAGTACATGCGTTGACATTTTTATATGGTAATGATCCAGCGCAATCTGTACGAGAGGAAGCGCATAGAGCAATAAGTAAAATGACGCATAATTTGGATGATTTAACAAATGTCGAGACTACGAAAGTATAAAACTTCTAGTTGCCAAAATTCTTATTTCTTCTTCGTCTTATGAATAACTATTACGATGTAAATTTCTTCTCCCTCGCTATGATTATTTGTTTTAATAATCTTTTTTTTGTTGATTGACCATATCCTTTACTATACGAAATGAAGAAGTGCTTTCATACTATATATGTATAACTAATTCATTACGAGCAACTTCTACCTACCTTTCTTGCTCCTATCTTTTTAATCAGGTTATTTCTGTTCTTCATCTGATGTTTATTTAAATAATCTAACAATTTCACTACATTTTTTTCAGTGCTCTATTTATTACTTATCCACTTGAACGAAGAAAATGCTTTATTAAAAATGTACATTTGCTTGTATCTTTTATTCCACCTTAAATGTCTTTTTAACATTGCATACTTTTCTCATTATTTTACTTTTGCTCATTCATATTATTTGCTCCATTCATATACATATAAAGAATGAAGAAAAAACGAGTTCCTATTAACTAATTATCATACTGATTATTGATTGCATTAGTTTCTCCTTTTCTGTTCCGTTTTATCGATGTTTTTTTTGGATTGCTGAAATTTAATATAAATTTTGATCATTAATTAATTTGATTTGTTATCAATTTCAGTATCAGTTATTACTTAATTGGATCCATCATTATCTAAACTCCTTTATCAATTGGCAGTTGATCGAATTGAATCATGCTATTTACTTTTCATAGAAATGTTTAATGAGTTGGATTCATTTTGGATACTATTGATTTGTTGAATTTCTTCACAGAAAAGCACCACCGACTTCGTCTTATCCATAATATTTACACTTTTATGCAAAAGACATCACGAAACGTATAATATCTATTTATCTTCTTCACTCTTTGAAGTAGAAATTTGTGAACCATTAAAATTTTCATTGTTAAAAATTTTTAGTGTAGCAATTAGTGTTTTTTCTGCAATCTATTGTTTCGTCTTTTTTAGTGACACATAATATTAAATCTTGAATATATTTTGGAATTCCATAAATGCTTCAACTATTTTATTTCAAGGAAATGGAAAGGTAGAATGAAGATTATGCAATAATTATAATATTATTATTTTCATATGTTTCAGAATAACTTTTATGAGATTCTTGAAGCTTTTTTTTTCAATCAGAAATTATCATTGCTTAGTTTCTCAGAGTGAATCAAAATGAGACGAATGTTTGCAGCAGTTTTGAAATTCTCTCGTGATACTCGGTGCATGTTACAATCGTACTGTAAATATGCTTCTCATTCATATTTAACTATACCCTGCTTGAAATGTTTTGTTTGTTCATACGAACATTATGGCTCGCTTAGCAGAATTTTTTAAAAGTTGAAGTTGAATAAATCTTTGTTCATATCAACTGTATCACATGTCTGCCTTGATCGATTGTATCAAAGAGACATGTCTGTTGTCTGTCTTTGTTAATCGACAGTATAGGTTAATGGTAGATATAATAACGATTATATTGGAAATGTTGCTCCAGATAGTGTTAGGAAGATTTTCGAAACTGGTAGCAGTTAATTTTTACTTTAATCATTCAGACAGCCAAAGTTGACACTTTGGAAATGAAATTACATCCTTCATATTTTGTTGGGAATCATCAGAATTATCTACTTATCTTCTGCAACACCTCTTTCAGCACAATTGTGTGCAGAATACGGACTTGTTATAATCTTCCAGTAAAAGGGTCAAAATATTAGCCATCAAATTCCTAGCCCAGATGGTCGAACCATTTTTTTAAGGATATGGTGATTTGGATTTTTCTTTTTACCGCAGCAATAATCTCGTGATATCGCTAACAAAATTCAGGTTTCATCAAAGAACAATGCAACGAAAAAAGAAGCAAGATTTCTTTTTAAATTTTAAGGAGTGAAATTCCGTCATTACAAGAGCGATTAAAAGTAATAAGTGAAGCTAGCGGGATACCCGATTAGGTATAAAAAATCCATAAATTTGATTTTTTGCAACTGCATTTCTGAAATGTAATAAAAGTACCATTAAACTAATGAGGGATGTTGTGGAAAATTTTGAAAGTTATCGCAATTTTGCTACTTATAAGGGACAAAAGAGTATGGCTCATTTCTTTCTTTTCTTCATTCTTAACGGAATTTTCACTACCTTAAAAAAACTACTCGATAACATGAAGAGAAGCGTATGCTATCAAACATTTCTCATGTAGTAAGATTGGAATTTTAGACATAACCTGAAGTGAACGTTTCTCAAAAAATTCACCGACTATAATTATTTACAAATTTGATTTAAGCAAATATCAGTTACCTGCAACTACATTCTCTAACCTTCACTTCAATGTACTTTTTTTGTTTCGTTTCTCAAGCGAGCACAAATCCTTGTGAGCGATATGTATTTGCGTATGCGAAAAGTTGACGATGCATGGAATTTTCATGGCATTCAGTAAAGATTTATCATTTTTAAACATTGAAAGAAAAAAGAAAGTTGGCCTTCATTTCTTAAATTCAAAAGCTATGCACAGCCATTTACATGTTATAGTGAATTAACAATGTTTGCCGATTATCGTGTATCACAAGCACTTCACTTCCTAGGTGTACTGAAATACCCGTTAGTATTGATGAAACAAATGAAGGGAAAGAACTAATACAGAATGGTTCATAATATGAAGTGGAAGTTTAAGATTAATAAAAGCTTGCAATTCTGCAGCATCAAACCATCTACAAAAAAAATTTTTTAGACTAAACAAAAATGTGAAATCTTTAAAAAAATTGCGCGAGAAAACATCTTTGATTTTTGACAAAAAAAATGTTTTCTAATAAATTAAGAAAATTTTTTAATTTCTTCTCACTATCAAAAAATTTTCAGGATACTGTGAAAGCAATTAGGCAGAAAGCAATAGACGGCAGTAACATTATGTACAATGCAGCTTATATGGTCAATTTTCTGTGGCTATATGAATGGAAAAGTGCTAAACAAATTGAATAAATGATTTCACATTCTATTGGACACATTGCATATATTACTGAAATATTAAGTTTAAGTCTATAAATATTACTGTTACATTTTTGTTAAATGTTAAGTGAATAAAAGATCGGAAATTGATCCTATCAACTTTCCTTTCTCATTCACATCTCAGTAGGTCTTGCCATTATTTTGAAACATCTAGATCGATATTTTGACAAGACAAAGTATTTATTAAATCTAGTGTTGGGAAAAAAACCTGGTAGGAAAACTGCAAATCAATTAATTTTAAACCATGCACTGTTAAGCAACGCATGAAATATAAAATAAGGTACATTAAATATGTTTAATTAAAATAAGTGAAAAGTGTTGTAATTTACACAAGAGTTATGTCATTTTATAATTAATCAAACGGATATGCTACCAGCCCTGAAATCCGATTTGCCGATAACAATGTTTGCAACCACTGAAGTACCAGCCGTAGCAGATGCGAAGATTTCTTCAAAGCGTTTCGTTGTCAGATCTTCTTTATTGGCAATAAGTACACCGCGTGCACCCAATGCTACCCCTACATTGTCGTATCGTGTGTACTGAAAAAAGTCCCTTTTTCATTTGTTTTTGAAAAAGTCAGGTTATGTCTTCGCTACTGAAAAAAACTAACACCACTCTAAAAAAGGATCTTAGTGCATTCTATATATCTTGAATAAATTTATAGAACTTCGCCTTACATATTTCATCATCTTGGTCATGAACGATTTCTAATGATAAAATAGGCATTAGGGAATTGTAATACGATGAATTTACGAAAGTGTGCAAAGTAACGAAATGACATGCCTCAAGATTCACCGCAATCGAACTGTGGAACATAGCAACTTGCTCACGCGCAATTTGTGACCAACAAGCATCATTGCCAATTAACGCTACAACAGAAAGTTTATGACGCGAAAAAGTATCAAATTCCATCAGCGAAAAACCACAGGAACCATCACCGTATAAAATCACCACTGGACGATCTGGATGAACCTATAACAAGTTAAATAATTTAGAACATAAATTTGCAAGGGGAGATATGAGATAACAGTTATATTCAAGGAAAATTTACAATATAACTACACTTTAAAGAAAGCCACAGTTCTTATTGTCTTATACTTATATTGTCTTATACTTAATCCATTTTTGTGTCCATGTGTCCGACCGCTTCGATTATAAAGAAAAATATTCCAAACCATTAAGATGTACATATCATATGATCTAAAATGTGAAGTGCTATAAGAAAAGTGCATACTAGTATGCGCAACGTCGGGAAGGAACACAATTCAGAACGACTTTTAGCCTAAACAGGTTCGAAGTTGGAAATTTATTGCAAACTCTCAATATAGGACATTTAGTTTTTATTAAACTTCCTCCAAAACAAAGGTTTTCAAATTTTTGTAAAATAAAGCGTAACGCACGACTTTTGCTCCAAGTGCAAAACCGGCTCCAACACCCAAAGTACCGAAAACTCCAGGATCAAGCCACTGCAGCGGACCTCTCGGATGCACAATGTAAGAGGCACTTCCAATAAAATCACCACCATCAACTATCAAAATTGCATCGTTTGGCAAAACCTGCATACGAATCAACAACATAAAAGTTAAAAACTATAACATCTGTCAAAGAACGAAACTGAATAAAACAACAGAACAAAACTGAAATGACCAACTTTATTGATCAGGGATAGCACATAAAGAGGATTGATTCCATCCCTTACAAATGCTTCACCCATTTTCTCCATATTTTCCATATTTTTCTCTTTTTCCTTCTCTTCCAAAAATAACATCCAATCTTGTACTGACAAACCAAGCTAAAAGATTTACTAATTTTTTATTATATGCTGTATACATACTGCAAACGAATCATATCAATAAAAATTAGAGAATAAGTGCAGCAATTCTGAGCAACAAATATTGCATGTGAAATTTAATAACTAATCAATTATTTATGACATCAACGAATATACTGACACAAAATCCAGAATCAAAACATGATTCTCGAATAAACCCAAGAGATTTCAAAAATGATAACTGCGTTACAGTTAAAACATGCGGTTGGTTGCAGCAATATCAGGAAATGAACCAAAGAAGTAGTTTGAGGCCATTAGCAACGAGCACCACAAAAGATGAAATCAAAACTATGATTATGGAAGGCCCCTAACCTACAGCTAAAGATATTATTAACTATTCAAATAAAAACTTCCTATTTCCAAAAGAAAAGAAGAAGTGATACTTTATGATCAACCGAATTCAAATAGTCAGCAAGGTTGACTAAGGTTGTTGCAACGTCTGCTTGGATCGCTAAATTAGCTCGCCAAAATATGCCTTCATTTTTCAGCATCTGAGTTCGATCACGATTTATTGAAACCACATTAGCGTATGATGAAAGAACACGCCCATATGAGAGACGAAAATCACATACTGCACCTAAAACAATCTAATGCTCTACAACCATGGAATGCTTTCAGAGGTTAATCATGCAAATTGATTCGAATCAAAAAATAAAGATGAAGTACCAGCAAGAATAATTAAGTCGGCTTCTTTGAGGGTATCTTTTCTGTTGTGGCGCATATGAATAGGATTCTGGTATCCCAGTAATCCACGAGACATACCGGCTAAGAATGTCGGAATGCCGATAGACTGCAATATGGACTGCTAACATGTTCATCACATTCTTTTGTATATATATATTCAAGACAAAATGCACAATGACTAGATGTTTTCCAATAACTTATACTTCACAGCAATCTTAAATTCTGCTCCATGAATAAGAATCCGTAACGTCCCATCAGTCTAAATTCACTGAGTGAATATATTAAACCTACCTCCACAGCGCGCTTTAATTCATACACACTGACGGGAGGTAAAACAGCTTGACTACCAATAACCAGTACTGGCTTCTTCGATTTCAACAGCAGATTCATCAGCTTTATGACATCATTATCTTTTGGAAATGGTATTTTGGCTGGTATAGGTAGCATTTCATCTTTCACAACCCAGCCACCACTAAACTGCCGAGAAATATATGCTAAGAGGTATGAGTTGATGATTGCCTGAAAATGAATTTGAACTTAATCGAAGAAAGATAAGATTTCACAATATATGACAACCATCGAATCTATTCTCATATACGAGAATCCACTTAAATTTTCAAGAACGAAATCTTGGAAAGAAATAAATTTGGGAAAAAATGAAAGTTTTAACTATACTTCCTTTTCTTTCTGCTCTTAGTATTATCATGATCTCGTTAGTGAATATGAATCATAAGACGAATTTCAATAATATAATTTCAATGCAGATAGAACTTTCATTTTCCCCTAAATTCTGCACATTTGAATACTGCAAAAAGAAATGGAATATGAAAGATCATGATCACTTTTGATCAATTTCGAGAATTTACAAAAATCATTGCAAAAAAACGTTACTTGTTTGAAACTTTTGGCCTTAGCAATATTCATTTCTTTGAATACCATTTTATACGAATAGAGCACATCAATGGGTATCTCCACAAAAACCGGACCAGGTGTACCGCTTTGTGCGATATGCATAGCTTCTTTAAGAACCAATACAATATCCTTTATACGTGTTATTCGAGCAACGTATTTACACAATGGTCGCATTAATGAAATTTGATCAATATCCTTGAAAATAAGCGCCCAAGCATTTTGGGAATTTTGTTACTGATAAATGTGAAATCTGCGAAATAAGATTTCAATCTGGTTCGTTAGTATAGTAAGCTTTTTTAGGGTTGTAACATGTGGAATGCAATAGTTCCATTACCATAAACCGGGAATTAGACCAAGCAAATATAGGTGAATAAATTAAAACCTGCAGAGCGCCACGGTTTTTTGATAAAATTGGTGCTGCACCCGCAATAATAACAACAGCAGTTTCCGCCATTTGTGCATTTTTTACTGCAGTAACCGTGTTTGTTAAACCTGAATTGAAACAATTTGAGTAGGAGAGCAAGATAAGTAAGATGGAAAATTTACACCACCACTTTGCTCATTAATTATAAGGACGTCAATGAACCATCCATTTCAATCCAGCCGACGATTACGCTCGATAGTTCGAAAATCTTAGTTTGAAGCAGCTACATCCCTCTTTCCATCATCACGTTTCATTGGATAGAAAATCCAACTCCACATCATAGCTCACTCAAGTAAAACTAATACATTATTTAAATCAGTGCACAATATAAAATAACGAAAATTTTCGTCTACTAGTATAGTTTATTCAACCATAAGTTAAACAGTTCCTCGACACCTGTCCTACCTGGTCCCGCAGTAACAACTGCTACACCAACACTTTGACGTAAACGTGCAACAGCATCTGCTGCAAACACGGCATTAACTTCATGGCGCGTGTCGTATACTCGAATGCCAAGATTTTTTGCAGCAACTAGGATCGGTGATATATGTCCGCCACATAATGTAAATATTTCGGTTATGTTGTGTGCCTAGAAGGTATCCAATAGCATAATTCTTGGAAACAAATACCTCTTGATACCACTTTCCAGTTGATAAAATGTATAATTTCGGATTACACAACTTTCAATACATTGTTCCAGGATATCCGACATTTCCGAAGGGTAGGATGATCGGGGATATCACCAAAAACTGTTGCAAAAAAAAAACTCTATAAGCAGCACAAAAGGATGACCGCTTTTCCGAACAACAAATTATATCAAAATGAAAATTAACCTTACCTTCAGTACTGCAGCAACTAACTCGCCACCATGATGATCCGATCTCTCATCAACCTGAGTATGCAAACACTACAGATTCCATTCTTCAGATACATTTTAGTTGAGCTTTAATTGTTATAAAACACATCCCGTAAATCAGGAACAAATTCCACAACCTATCCGTTTCTTCCAGTTTCTTTTACCATAGTTAATAATTCTCAGATAAAATGATAACCTGGAAAAGATCTAATATCCAGTGTGATCGTTCCCTCTTATACAAATCCAATAAAATCTGATATAAAGTCTTGATGCTATCGATATTAAAGATTTTGATCAACCATAGAGCAACAACGAGAACAATCGAACCTCCTAACAGTAAAAACATCATTTACCTCTTAACCACTTCTCGACCCTGAAAATATACGATATCGGAGGAAATAGCAATTTCAAAACTTCTATTAGAGAAAAGAGAAAAAAACCGTAAACCCCAGAAAGCCAACTGGATCCATACATCGACGATATTCGTTTCAAAACTTATAGCATACAATGAACATGCAACAGTGATTAAGAGAGAGGGATGTTCCTATGTCCTGCGATCTGAGAAACAGCGGGGTGTGTATAGCGGTTATTGCAGTTGATTATCGATTTATGCAAGGGAGAAAAGGGAGGCATAAAATGTGCAATGTAATAATTAACCAACGACTACGTAGTAAATACAACAGTTTGACATAAAATAAATTTGTAGTGGACACGTCAGCAAGAACATCGCGCGGCGCTGATAACCATCAAGTAATGTAAAGTGATTTCATTTTGTAACCATTTTTACAACCAAATCCAGGAGTTATTTTCAGCTAGCACAGGAAGAATCCAACCAGTCATTCTTAATTAAACAGTGATAAGAGTGGGAGAAGAAAGGATAATTATGCAGCGTGGAAATTTGAAAAATTATCTCTCAATTCTCTACAAATCCCAGAGTGATTCAAGGATGTCTGTTGACTAATCATTTTATCAGATTTAATTATTCAATTTTTCCATTAATATCGTTAATCAAATTTCAAAAGGAAAAATTATAACATGGATGCAAAATTTTAAAATATGTCTATGTTTTAGGTATTTTTGTAAAGTCTCAAATTTGAACAACACACTTCTAACCTTTATCCTCAAATCCTTAATATGATTAAACCAGATTTTAGTTTTTATAATATGTCGTACTAAATCATCTGAGTTTACTATCCTCTCCAACTAGTAATTTATTGATTTATTTATTACGGTCTTCCAGTTTCATGTTTTTTTTTATCTTGTTTCATCTTACTTGATACTTACATCGTACATATGATCATGGTTTTGGAAAAAAGAGAAAAAAAACTTTACATACCTTCGTTACTTTCAAACATGTCAATGCATTTAGGTCTTCCTGATTTCAATCCATATTTCAACCATTTTATTATCATCCATTCCATTATGCTTACTTTCTTCTTCTATCCCCTTCAAATTCGATAATTCTTTTTTCAAGTATTACTCAATATTTTATCAGAAATGCGCAGATAACTCGTATGCAACGTTTTAGTGTGTAAGGTAAGAGAAATAAGATTGGAGAAGTGCAGTCTCGGATTACATGAGAAATATAGAAAGGAGGAGATCGGTCATAAGAAAGATACAGTAGAATCGGAAAAGGAGATGAGAATACTGATTATGGAACTGATAAAGACGAGAAAGATTATTATTATTACTATTTATTAATAAAATATTATTATCACTATTTATTATTATTATTATTATTGTATTTACTATTATTTATTATTATCATAAATAATAATAATTATTATTATTGTTTATTATTTATTATGTTTTTTTATTATATCAATTTTTATTATAAAAATTGTTATTATCATTATTCAAATCGTGAAACGAGTTATCAATGTGATCTTTCCCGGAAAACAGACTAAACTGATTGATAAAGTGATAAAATATCATATCTAAATTAGTCTTATTTTAAATATTAGTTTAAATGTTTACCTTTACTTCGCTCTTCAGGTGAACAGTTGCAACAGTGTGTACACGTTTGTGTGTATGTGTGTCTCGTGTGTATGTGTGTGCGTTTGTGTGTACATATAAATGAATGGATGGATGTGTGAGTAATTTATACATAGTTGAATGGGAGGGAATCAACCGTCGGCGATATGATACTGACACCCAAGCACTGTATTACACTCGATTAGTAAAACAAAACCCGATCTACTTTTCGGAAGGTTGTCGTACCCCGCTATGTTGCACCATTTACTGCACTTAATTTCATTAATTAAAAAACTAATTACACTTTCTACATGTTTTTTGTTGTTGAAATTATTGTCAATTTTAATCGAATTATATGATATGACATTTGCGCGAACTTACCTGCCACATATAGAGCATACAGAGGTATACAAGTGTGGCTGGTTGTAGTGTTTATGAAATGGTCGATCACACTAATAGGGCAGTAATTTGCAACAATACAAATGTGCGAAATTCTTTGTTTCGTTCATATAATGTTTATGTTGCAGGTTGATAATTTCCATTGAATTTATGAGAGATCCGAAGATAATTTTCCGTTAATGTGGCAAAGATTGCAATATTGAAAACAATTAGAAACGCTGTCAGCTGTACGAGGAAGAATGGATGAATACATAAGACATGCAGCTGTTGGAAATATTTTAGTGCTTTGAATCATCTTAACTTACTTTAACCAATGCTTTCGATCTATCATTTACTGTAGCGATTGTTTTTTGTATGGGATTTGTTAAATAGGATTAAATATTAGGTATGAGTTAAAATCTAATTGTGACCAAATTTAAGTAAAGCTAAATTTGAATAATGTTAAAAGATTTAATTTAAATTAGATTAAATTTTTGATGGAAATGAATTTTAAGCGTGGTTAGTTTAGGTAAGGATTAGAACAAAATTACATTTTAAAAAATGGTGCTAGTTTCAACAAAGTGCTGAAGAATTAATTTGATAGAAAAGAAAAATGTGCTGAAGTGTATTACAAGTTTTGTTTTTGCACCGTTTTGTCTTACACTAAAGGTTGATCGTAAAATTCATCCAAACACCTAATTAATTTTTCATTACTTTGCATAAAATTTTAATTGTTTGGGAATAGGTATGTTAAAAACTATTTACTAGACTATTAACCATTTCAATTAATCCGCAAAGTACACAACTAATATGCATAAAAATTCAATATGTTTATCACAACTAGGAAATGTCATAATATCACGAAACGCATTTCAAGAAATATCAAACAGGTCCTAAAGATACTAAAGAATAGTTTGGCAATTGATGTTGTGTGTCTTCTGCGAACACCAATTTAAACTGATAAATAATTACCTTTCCAAAATCGAAGACAAATGAGAAACTATTAGAACTTCTAATATATATATGTATGCAATGAATTTCAAGAAGAGAACTTATATTTCTTCGTGCGTCAATGGTACAAGATGTATAGAATACACTTTGGTTATCAAATTTGGGATGATTCTAATCATGTTAATTATATTTGAATCGAGACGAAAAGCTGTGATTCTATTCCAAGTTTTCTATTAATGATAATTATCGGGAATTTTTTTCCATTACTGCTTGGTCGGGAATCGAATTCCAATCCCTTTTTGAATTTTGGCGATATCGTGTTATTTGAAATTACAATTTCAAATAATAAAAATGTGCCAAATAATCCTTTTTAATGCTAATAGATGTAATGGATGGAGAATGGAAAGTGTGTAACAGGTATGAACAGTACCAATACATTTCCGTTATGGTCACTACGAAGTATCCGGCTTCGTATTATTGTACTTCTTGCTGTTGCACTTTTTATCGAAGGTTTAATGCGTACCAACATGAATATGGCTATGGTATGTATGGTGAATTTAACCGCTGTCATGCAATTTGAACAATCATTTACCGGTAAATTCCATTATATTTAATAAGGTTTTCAAAGTCTTAATAAATATTACTTTATTAGTCTACTTCTGCAATTATAACTTTTTATTAGATTATTGATGTAGTTGCTTTATTGGACTGGTTCGCATTAACTATTGCTACTGACGTCAGCTTAACGCTACTGACGTCAGCTTAACGTTACTGACGTCAGCTTAACGCTGCTGACATCACTTCTAAGGGTGTTTATTTTGTCTGTAAGCTTCTGGCAATAATTTTTAAAGGATTTGCTGATGGTTGTCTATCGTGAGGCAATACCTATTACGACACTTCGCAGCAAAGTTTATTGTTTGCATGGATGAAGCTAACAGCGTGTGTGAGCCATATCGAATATTTTGAAATTACGGAACCTTTTTTTAGCTCAAAAATCGAAAGAGTCGCTAGTGAACTACAATTACACCGTTTTGCCAAATTCATGTGGCACAATATTTGAACGTAAACGGAGTTATGTAAGTTTGTTGCATTTAATAGATGATAGTATTTCGCTGATGATCACTCACATCCAGTTCATTTGCAGAAGAGTATCCTGAATTGCTATCAATTAGGAGAAAGATACGCTGTACGCTGTTATTATTATTTTGATAGTTTCATACTAGTTTTTATATTGTCTCTCGCTATTGTTCATTTTAGAATGGTGATTTGCTATGGACAGGTCAAGAGCAGGCATGGATTTTTGTTGCATTTTACGTTGGTGGTCTGTTTATTGTATTTCCAGGAAGTAAGTATTGATAATTTGGTTTTAGATTTTTATAACTGGAAGTGGAAAGACGAGCGAAGTATGTGTAGCCGGTTAATGTTGTTATAAGGCAAAATATTACATCGAGAGATCTGACAACTTTCTTTATTATTTGGGACAACTTATTTTAGAGACATTTCAGGCTATCTATGCGATTGGATAGGGCCAGCTCATACTGTGCAAAGTGGAGCAATTATTAATATCATTGGCTCCATAACTACGCCGTATATTTCACGCAAAATTGGTGTTATGGGCGTGATTATCATACGGTTTCTGATGGGTTGTGGTCAAGGTGTACTGACGCCGTGCATGAATGTACTTATTGCTTGCTGGTTTCCATTATCGGAAAAAAGTACAGCTGTTGCTTTAGCAACTACTGGTAATCAGGTACCATTCTATTTTCTTTTGATTCTTGAATCGTTTATATGCCACATTTGTGAAAATTCATCAAACATACAAATTTATATATGATAAGATTTTTATTCCTAAAATGCTTAGGACAGAATAAAGATTAAATTATAACTTTCTTTCAGTTGTCCATAATTTTTGCAATGTTCATCACAGCAGAACTCTGTCAGATGTCACTTTTTGGTGGTTGGCCAGCTGCATTTTATCTTTATAGTAAGCTGTTTCCAGACATTATTTTAACCACGCTATTCTTATTTCTTGGAAACTCGTGAAAC